AGTAGGCCGCTGTGTCATTGTATGAGTAGGCCGCTGTGTCATTGTATGAGTAGGCCGCTGTGTCATTGTATGAGAAGGCCGCTGTTTCATTGTATTAGTAGGCCGCTGTGTCATTGTATTAGTAGGCCACTGTGTCATTGTATGAGTAGTCCGCTGTGTCATTGTATTAGTAGGCCGCTATGTCATTGTATTAGTAGGCCGCTGTTTCATTGTATTAGTAGGCCGCTGTGTCATTGTATGAGTAGGCCGCTGTGTCATTGTATTAGTAGGCCGCTGTGTCATTGTATGAGTAGGCCGCTATGTCATTGTATTAACTTGATCTGTAAATATATAATACGAGCACCAGGACCAGGTCACCTGGACCTAGATACACAAGGGGTCACCCTCGATACACCAAGGGTTACCCTCGATATACAAAGGGTTACTCTCGATACAACAGGGGTCACCCGCGATACAACAGGGGTCACCCAAGATACACCAGGGGTTACCCTCGATACACCAGGGGTCACCCTTGATACACCAGCGGTAACCCTCGTTACACCAGGGGTTATCACGCTCACTGTACCATTATAATATGTCATGCCAAAATTGATGACACACTGCTAGCTTGAATCCAAGTGCAAAAAATCTTTTAACTATCGCCAGGCTAATAAATGTCATTTCAATATTAGAGATGGAGCGACAATCAACATCAAAGCCGGCCAACTTTACCGTTACGCTTCCACGGAATCATTTCAATGTACATCAAAGGAACGCACAAGTCTTCTTGTATATCACCCACAAGTTGTCGCCTTCGACCTTATCATGGAATAGTCCAGGGTGTTTAGAGCCTGTACATGAACCGCGGTTCTGTCCCCAAACTAAACATCAATCTCAATTCTAGATATTTGAAGTTAATGGATTTTGGGACCAATTGTGTTTCCCTGTTATCAATTCTTAATGCTGTTTGTGATCGATCGGTTTCGTCTGCAAAACCCATTTTTAATACATCGAATATAAATATCATTTTGTATATTCTGTATGATTAATACATAGTTTACAATCTATGACCCTACCTGGTACATACTCACACACTCGCGTATAAGCGAGTATGCATTATCTTGTGTTACGTTGTAAGGAACATACCTTATTAAGCAGAGCGAGGTAATTGTATACTCTATCTCTCCTTGTGTACCTCGATTTGCACGCGCGTACACACACGCACACATTGCACTCACTCATCTACACCTTCTCACACACACATAACTATCTTGTTTTTCGTTCTCTTTCCAGAATTTGTGAAGATATGGAGTGAAACGTTATAAAGAAGGCCTATAACAGCCGGGCTTTTCACTGAAAATTCGGCGTCGTCAAACAACCGATTATTCCGTCCACATTGGTACAGGAGGATTACCATAAATAAATGTAGCGTCGACAGCATGGGAGACAACCCGATTATCTCCCTTTATTACAATAATGCCTGCTGAATCACACTGGGTACTCTTGTGTTAAATGATATTTCCCAGATTTTATCCTTTAATCCTTGTGTTATCCGTAACCTTTGCTGTCTTTGTGTTGTTTATATGATATGAAGGTCGAATTTTTTGACTCTGCTCATTAGTGTGCCTTGCGGTGGTTTGGCACTTCCTGGGTAGTTGATGTGAGGACGTGACATAACTTGGAGGTGACCTAGATATACTTGACAGGTGTTGTCGATGAAGTAGAAGAAGCTGTCCCTTCCGGAACGCCTGTTCTTATCCTCTTTGTACTTTTTCATGGGTCTCCGTGTAAACCTTTTCTTTGTTCATTATTCGCCCTCGTTTTATCGATTTTGAGTTCGAACTATGATTTTGTGGACACTTCAGTCTTCTCCTGTTGAATACAGTCCTATGTTGAACAGGAGAATAATCGTCACACTCTCCCTTTTTACTAAGCCAACGATTGCTGTGATAAACATTTGTGTACAATATTGAGATAGATATATATAAAGGAAGGCTCTACACTAAATAAGAGAAAGGAAAGAGAAATGAGGGAATGCACTCTTTTCAATTTAGAAATAATCAACGTATGTGCGAGTACTATGGTAGAATAATATATAAAGAAATAGAGAAAATATTTGAAAAAAAATAACTGAAGCAAATTATTTTTTCAACATTTTCGAATCCCGAATTATATATTCCACTATAATATATAAGCATATGGGATGATATCTTTACTACGAAGTAAAAAGTAACTAAAATCTTTTTCTTGCCCAAGCAAGGTGACCTAGATATGATCTAGTTTGAATTAGGCTGTTCTTTTGCCCGTTTTCACATTTGTCACGTGAGGCCTATATGTCTTCATGTTACAACAAGCGTCGCGTTTTTATCATTTCTGACCATATGTGCAGTTCCATTTAACCTGGATATATATATTTCGGAAGGCCTCTAAACATTTTCTCCAGGTTGGTAAGTATGGATTATGAGAAGTTCTTTTTACACAACTAATACCCATACAGCAAAAATCTTTGTGTGCATACGCTTCACTGGTCATTTGTCTGATGAAGGTGACAGTGTACATATCGTACTAGTCATCGAAAGTTTATTGGTTGTGTAAAAAGTTCTTCTCATAATAAATTTATTTGGGAAGGATTTTTTTAAGTCGACATTCGTTAGACAGACGATAAACAATAAACACTGACGTCATCCTTCATGTCAGATGTTTATTTCAATCAATCAAATCCACCAATCTATCGACCTTGCTCGTCAACACATGAAATCAACATCTGACAGACTTACCGACAGTATTTCTGGTCACTCTCGCGGTACCATTCAGACCATGAGTGCTTGACAGGTTTTGATTAGATCTGGAGGTAGAAAAATTGTGTCCTCTAGCAAATGTTCAAATAAATACCAAATTAAATGCGGGTATCCTCATTCGACAAATGAAGCCATTTTTTCTTTCAATACAGCCGCTTGTTTCTTTCACAGAATGATGTCGATTTGAATATTTTTCAGAAATTTTATAATAAAAAAAAATGGCGAGTAAGGTGACCTGTCAGTATCCAGTATGATATTGTATCGGACGACGTCTTTATGTACGTGATCAGCTGCACGACCTTGGAGAGTATTAAAGCAATGCCTTTGATATCGTATTTTATTACTTTACAGTAATGAACGTTAATGTGTTATGTTTATAAGAATATGTGATATATTTATGTATATTTTTCAAAGTTCATTAGTTTATTTGTCCAGAACAATTCCTGTGATATATTTAAGGGTCATTATATTATCTTCATTGTTCGAAACTAGAAATACCTATCGTGTAAATCTTGTGTTATACACATACATACGCAGTCAATATTCGGTGTGATGTTAACCCTGTTTATGTTTTATGTACCATGCTCTTCATTATGTTGGTCTTATTTTTGGTTTAAGGTATTAAGTAATTAAATTCCACATTGGTTATAAGATCATCTTTTTAGGAAAATGTTAATGATATGAAATGAATGTTCATTTAAAATTTGCTCAGAGTAATTGTTTCGTCTCATAATAGTGCGTCATCAGTTAATCAATAAAAACGTCATCAGTGCAATGCGTCTTCTTTTCGTTAACGAGGACTGAAATGAGTACAGAATTAGTTATCGTCACCAATTGATGAAGCGTTTTACCCAAACCCTGACTCAAGAATGGGTACGTTCGTCCGTCCTGATTTGTATTTTTAATAGCTTTTTGCCGAATAGAATGGAATATAATAGCGTGTTACGGCGATCTTATTGAAGGAACAAAGTGTGCTGCTTGACACAATATAAATTTGTACATGTTAGATGTGATGAAGTTGTTCTGCTTACTATCAAATCATAAATTTTACCAAAAATCACATATTATGTAAAATTGGTATGTTTGATTGACCTCGGTTAAAGAAACGAGCACACGGACATATCATTTCATTGTGGGGTTTTTTCATATCGTCTTTACAATAAGAAATGGCTCAAAAAGTTAGTCAGTTAAAAAACTTATTACAAGAGCAAATCCTAATTTTGACTTTTCACAAAAGCAGATCCTTGCCAGTGCATGGTTTTCTGTGCCTTTCATTACCTATTGTTATTGCATTGCTGAATTTTAAATCGGTACCCATCTTTGAACGTTAACGTTAATCATATGTCTTTGCCTGCCACTCAGAAAACAAAGAAACTATCCTTACAGCATTTGATGACGTATCCATCATCACGTTGAAATAAAACAACTTATAACGTACTGGGTTATGTTTTATATTCTGTAATGAAACATCTTAGATCTGACATGAAAGGGTACTAGCATGGTATCGTTACAATTATTGATTCATCATTGGTTGGATATTTATTTCTGCGGAACGTGTAATATCACTGGACAGCGGTTTTGTATACGAATGTGACACTACACTGTATCAGAGGTCAGGCGAAGGTTCTAACAAACCGAAATGTGTTTATCTTAACAGCTAATTCACAAGCTCTGTCTTATCTGACCAGAGACCTTATTTAGGTCCCGTATATAGGTATCACTGAGTAGAGGACAAGCGGTAAGTCTGTAGACATGCTGTCGCTCGTTCTAGCAGCTGTTTGTCTAGGTTCTGCAAGTAAGATATTTACTGTGTTCGTATTAACTACAAACAAACTTATAAGAAATATGATTATTACTTTGTTATCAACGTGATCAATATTACCTCACTTGTTGGATATCAGTGTCATATCGGTCTCCGTTAAAATACAAAATCAGTCTAGTGTGACCATCATTTATTCAAATTCAGTCTAGTGTGACCGTTATTTATTCAAATTCAGTCTAGTGTGACCGTTATTTATTCAATTTCAGTCTAGTGTGACCGTTATTTATTTAAATTCAGTCTAGTGTGACCTTTATTTATTTAAATTCAGTCTAGTGTGACACGTTAATTATACAAAATCAGTCTAGTGTGACCGTTATTTATTCAAGTTCAGTCTAGTGTGACACGTTATTTATACAAATTCAGTCTAATGTGACCGTTATTTATTCAAATTCAGTCTAGTAAGACACGTTATTTATAAAAACATCAGTCTAGTGTGACACGTTATTTATTCAAATTCAGTCTAGTGTGACACGTTATTTAATCAAATTCAGTCTAGTGTGACCGTTATTTATACAAAATCAGTCTAGTGTGACCGTTATTTATTCAATTTCAGTCTAGTGTGACACGTTATTTATTCAAATTCAGTCTAGTGTGACCGTTATTTATACATATACAAAATCAGTCTAGTGTGACCGTTATGTATAAGGGTACTTACCTAGATATAGGGTAGTACTACAATTTATTGTATAGGGTAGTAAAACAATT